GGAATGTCTTCATTTTGCCCATGCCTTGTGTAGTCTATTTAAGCCATGCAGTCTACTTTACACTACTATTTATCCAAAACACACATCTAATTCACACTACTATATGTCCAAAACACACTTCAAAGAAACCAATTTTACACAAAATGGATCATACACAACATTATGTAGTCAGTTATCATATAAACGGTGAGACATTCGACAATGAAAGGTTCAGGTTTAATTTTTGTAATATCGATTTTATTTGGTTTAGAATAAACAGTAGATCAAATTTGTATCATTTCAAAGAGAGACTAGAGGTGAAGTTACAGCCTGGTCCAATTACCAAATTATTTACAAGAGTCCATTTGTATTTCACAATAACCAAGTCAGATATTTTCAAGTAAAGGTTTGTGATGATGATGATGTTCCAAAATATTTTCGAACTCATGAAAATTCTGGGTTCAACAAAATTGAGTTATATGTTTTACTACAACAGCCTCAACAGTCTCAGGTCGTTGATCCGTCACAAATTTTTGAAGAAACTGACGACGACCACCACACTGAAGTCAATGTTAACGAAGAAGAAGAAGAAGAAGAAGAAGAAGAAGAAGATGAGACCCTGGTTTATAATGGTGAATGATGACTTTGCAGACCAACTTACATGATAAACTTGAGCTTGGAAGAAGACGAATCAACCTCAGATATCTTTCACAATCCTTATATGCCGACCGAAGAGGCGTTAAAAGATGGAGACAAATTTCGTATAAAAGAAGAATGTGTGAGAGCTATAAAAAAAGTTTCACATGGAAATTCAGTTGATTTCTCTGTATATCACACTAATTCAGGGAGTTACATCATTCTATGTCGTCAAAAACCAATTTAACCATTTTGGGTAACTGCACCTTACAAGAAGAGAAGTGATTCCTAGGAAATATATACTATTGATCCATCCCACAATTGCATACCAACTGTTCCGATGCAGGATCATCGGAAACTTATCTCTCAATTAATATGCCAGGAAATCTTGACTTTCATTAGCAAGGATCCATCATTGAAGGTGAGTATAATATTTCTCACAACATTACAAGATTAAATTATACCCCCTCTTACAAGAAGGCATGGATTGCAAGGACTAAAGTCGTTGAACTAGTATATGGTAATTGAGAAGATTCATACAAAGAACTTCCAAGATTTTTGGTGGAGCTCAAGTATTATGCTCGGGGAATTATTATAATTTTGGAGATACTCCCGATATTTAACCTAGACATAACTTGTTTTAGTGGAAATATAATATTTCATCGACTCTTTTGGGCGTATAAACCATGCATCTAAGGCTTTGCATTCTGCAAATCTATTATGCAAATTGGTGGAACATGGTTGTACGGGAAGTATAAAGGAACGTTACTCATGGAGTGGCACAAGATGGAAACAATAATATTTTTACAATTGCCTTCGCTCTGGTTGAAGGTGAGACGGCTGATGGGTGGAGTTTCTTTCTCAAGCATCTCTGATTACACGTTGCTTCTCAATCCAACCTCTGTTTAATTTCAGACAAACATCTATCTATTGAGAGTTCTCACAATAACCATGATAACGCTTGGCAAGATCCTTCTTCTATGCATGTCTATTGCATTATACATATTACACAAAACTTCATCCGGGAGATCAAAGACAAGACGCTTTGAATTTTTTTTGTTAATATAACATATGCCTTAACAAAACCATCATTCCAGTATTACCGCGAAGAGATCGGGTGGACAAATGTGGATGCGTTAAGCTGGATCGATAACATTTTAATGGAGAAGTGGATCGAGCATTTGACAATAGTCAAGATGGTACCACATGACAATAAATCTAGTGGAATAAATTAATCATGTCTTCAAAGGCATTAGAAATCTACCGATAAACGCATTGGTGAGAGCAACATATTTTAAGTTGGGGTCACAGTTCGATACCAGGGATTCAAAATGGAGGGCAACGTTACAATAAGGGAAATTGTTTAGTGAAAGTTCTATGAAATTAATTTAGGAGAAGGCTGCCAAAGCTAACACACATGGTGTTATAGTGTTTGACCGTATTAAAACTTGGTTCAGTGTATAGGAGACAATGAACCATAATAAGGGGAGGCCAAGGGAATACTATTAGGGCGAACTAGATAGAAGTTGGTGCGATTGTGGAAAATTTTAAGTCTTTCATATGTTTTGTTCTCATGTCATAGTGTTATGCTCAAATGCTCGCCTAGACCCTAGAGAACATATATTCGTTTACAAAGTTGAAATGTATTAGTGTGTACATCAATACCTTCTCAGTGATAGCAAAAGAGGATTATTGGCCTGCTTATCAAGGGGACATTAGTAAATGCGAAGGAAGAAAAAGGGTTTCTCTAACAACACACGTATTCATACCGAAATGGATACGACAAACAAAATGATAAGATTATGCAGTACATGCAGTCAACCTGGACACAATCGAAAAAATTGTCTGAATATTGGGTCTAGTTGTGCAACATAATTTTTACATGCCAATCTTGATATGTAATATATTTGTTGTAACCAAGAAATTTCAATTTAAACTCAACTTTCATTTCATATTCAAGTTAACATTCTGGTACAACAAAATAAAAACAACCACGCATAAAATAACATGATAAACAAATAAAATGACTAAACACATCAAAATAACTAGGAGATTACAACCATTAAGACAATATCAACTGGTATGAGAATCATCATAAGGACATCATAGTCAGTTTTAACATATTTTCAAGAACGAATTTCTCCATTTTGGTTGGACACCGTAACAAACCTATCAATTCTCCTGATCTGTTCACCGTCATAAATGTGTATGTCTAACCAGCAGATCAAGCTCCTCTGAAAATGCTTGAAGGTCTGTGTGTTTCAAAGATGGATCTTCATCAGGGACTTTGTTGGCGAGAAATAAGTTGAGCATTTCTTTTGGTAATTGGAAGCATACTGGAAGACATATTTAAGAGTGGAATGAGAAGATGTGTTCTAAATGGTAGAGATGGATGGATGTATTTATAAAAAGTTTAAAACAATTGAATAGACACACTGGATGGTTACTCCTCTATACTGACATAGTGCATGTACTATACTGCATGGCATGACAGAGAAGCATGTGCCATGCAGTGTGGCGTCTCCTTTCTATTTTAAGTGCATGTGCCACAGAGTGGCGTCTCCTCTGTGTAGTAAATTTTTTGATTTGAGATGTGATTATTTTAGTATATAATTTGAATGACAACTATTTAAATTTTTTTAGGGTCATGTTAACATGTGTCCTAGGACCACATGTTAAAAATTTTATAATTAAAAAAATAAATAAATTAAATTAAATTATATTTAAAATTTTAAAATATTGAATGCACATGTTAGTTTTTTTTTTATATAAAATACAGTAGTTATTAAAAAAAATTCACTTTTATGAATAGTAAAAATTCAACACGTTAAAACTTAGATATTTGGATAAAGTAAAAAACAAACATAATTCAAACAATGCACTAAAATCAATAGATTGTCACCAAGTCCCAAAGTTCTAATAAATTTATTTAAAATAAAAACAAAAACATCATTACTTAATAAAATAAAATTATTATTATATTTTTTAGTTATAGATTTCTCTTGGGGGTGTATTTTTCGGATTTAAAATTATATTCTTTGTTCTAAGTTAATTATTTTTAAGAATATTATTCTTACGATAAAAAGTTAAATTTACTAAAAATAAATGTAAAATTTATCTAATTTAAAATTATAAAAAATAAAAATAACAATAAATGTAGATGGTGAGGAAAGTTATAGTTATTCAAATTTATTTTCATAAGAATATTAATTTCCACCCATTAAGCATTGAAATAAAAACAAACAAAAAATCATATATAAATAAGATTTTAAAAAAAATTAAAACTTGAATCAAATATGAAAATATTATATTTCTATAATTTTTGGAAATATTTTTTCAAACCTAACTACACCCTTTATTCCTATGAAATACTTAGGAGTATTATTATTTATTGACTCCAATTGCAAATTCATCATATCCCCCAAATATTTCATTATTAACTTCTATTTTATTTTACATAATATAATGTGACATTTACACTATGTTTTGATGAAGAAAAGAAGAAAAAAAAGTGAAAGTAGACTAAAAGAAAAAAATAGTATTCCCTTGTTTGATGCAGTAGAAAGTAAGAGGAAAGAAATTTGAATATTGCAAAATGATTAATGTAACCTTCAATAGAAAGATTAAATATATAAATCAAGAATATTGAAGTCATTTTACTCAAATCAACCCCTCCTCCCTTGTTTACTTCACATTTTGAAGGAAATTTTATGTGGAACTCAGAAGATTTAACTTTTCCTCTCCATCTTTCTTGTAACCAAACACATAATAATTCCCTTTTCTTCCCTCTTTCCCTTCTTCACATTTCTTTCCTCCATCATTCCCCTATTCAAAACAAAGCTCAAGTATTTAAATCTTAAACAACTATACCTTCACGGGACTACTTTGACAATTGAAACATGTTCAGCTGAGCATAATATTAATTCTTCCGCATTTTGTTGGCACAAAAATAAACTAAGGTGAATCAATGATGATAACCTCTAGATTCAGTTTCATTTTTTTATTATTCATATTTTGGCATTACTAGTATAATAAAAACAACAAGCAAGGAACATGTGATAACTATTTTGTCACCTTAACAGCCATGAGGAAAGGATCATTCTATCACCATGAACCACTTTTTGTTCATTCACCGAATAATAAGCCTCTTTTAAGATTGTTTTGTTGTGATTACTATCACTATTATAATGTTAATCTATCTCGTGAACACACACAGACTGTACCCACAATCACATGACACAACTGTTAACAAATGACACTATTAAGACTAAAATAATGTAAATAACTGTTCAACTAACATTCTAAACACCCTTATAAATTAAGTCTTAGAGAGGTTACACAACATAACATAGTGAGTAAGCACCTGGTTAATCAATTAGGAGAGTATGGCACATTCTAGTGGGAAAACTTTGATGCAGTGGCAGGTAGCAGCATTGCTCTTTGCCATGTTGGGTGGAAGTCTAGCAGTTTTATTATGTAACATAGAATCAAGTGAGCTAAAATTATGTCGTGACGCTGTTACCGGTGAAAACCCGCCAAACCCGGATGCAAAATGCTGCGATGTTGTCCACCGTTGCAATCTTACTTGCCTTTGCGATTACAAGTCTGAACTGCCTTTATTCGGAATCAACCCTGCAAATGCTATGGCCTTGCCTGGTAAATGTGGTTTGAAAAAGCCGTCCAATTGTTAAGGTATCATCTTAACTTGTTAGACCTTGAACTCGAATGTATAAACTATAAACTACTTGTGCTTATCTTTGACAAGGTAAAATTTCATGATTAATCTTTGTTGTTTTTTTTTTTTTTGCAGTGAGGTGAAGGTCTCCTCCATTAAAAGCAATTCTTCATGTGTTTTGCTAACACTAGAGAAGCTTTAAGCAGCATTTGATGTCCTCCAAATAAAGACATATTTTATTTTGATCAGTGTGTTTTGTCCATTTATTTGCAAGCAGATATGTAGTGTATCAGTGTCTGGTGTTGTAGATGTTGTTAAGGTGTTTGATGTACAAGAATACATGTCTTAATATCAAGAAAACATGTATCATTGCCTCCCACAGCAACCTGTAGTCTGGTTAATAAAACGTTTGTTCCTTACTTCCTTGGATTCTTAATTCAATGTTGTAGATTGTGTGAAATGTGTGTCCCAAGAAGCAACAACTAGCTATGATTAAATATGATAATCCAATATAAGAAATTCCGCACTTCCACTTGCTCACGAAGCAAACCAAATAAAAAAAAAACCCATCGACAGTGAGCACGCACAGTACCAATCTGCAAAATTTCCATAATATCGATAGACTCAACCAACTGCTGCAAGCTAGCCACAGAATCTTGAGAAAGAAAATATGATTTTCCTTCCATATTTTTTCAAAGTTCAAAATCCCAAATGATATTCAAAAGCCACCTGGTCGCTAACTCAGTTATATGTGCATGACTTGTGCATCCAAAATAGCGACGTCAAATGCTCATGGAAGCTATGATGCAAACAGGTTTTCATGCTTGTAGCGTGTCAGCTCCCTTAGCCCAGATGTTCAATATAACAAGCTGATAAACAGCTTAGGAAAGGACCAAACTTAAGAAATTAAGCTTATTGCCACTCCGATAAACTTCTGGAAGTTTCCTTTGACCCTTCCAAAGATTAGGCATGACCAAAAGGAAAATTTAGCTTAGAGCATACTCCAACCAGCTTTTTTTCCCAGCAAACACCTATCTTTCATTGTCCTTCTCACATTTTCTGCTTCTTCCCACCTCCCGATAGAGCTATACATATTGGCTAGCATTATATAGTATCCATCATTTTCTGGTTCAGAGTCAATAGCATACTTGGCGATTCTTATTCCCATTTCAATTTGATTGTGAGTTGTATAAGCACTCAACAGCGCTCCCCATACGCCGCCATCCGGAGAAACAGGCATGGATAAGACCAATTCTTCTGCTTCTTCTAAATTACACGACCTTCCCAAAAGATCTACCATACAAGTGTAGTGTTTTAAATTGGGTTTCACAGAATAGCTCTGCATTTTAGCGAACAAGTATTTTCCTTCTTCGACAAGTCCTGCATGGACACACGCTGAGAGAAGAGAGAGGAAAGTAACTTCATTTGGCTTAACATCTGATTCCTCCATAAGATTGAATATCTCCACCGCAGATTCTGCATATCCATTCATTCCGTAACCTGAGATCATTGCATTCCAGCAAATTACATCCTTTTCCATCATCGAATCAAATACCTTCCTTGATTTTTCTAGCTGCCCACACTTGGCATACATATCAACCAAAGCTGTGCCAAGAAGTAAATTGAGCTTAATACCTTTTTCATTTATGTAGTCGTGAACTCTCTCTCCTTTCTCTAGAGATGCAAGGTGAGAACAAGCTGAAAGTACTACCACCAAAGTGGATGTGTTAGGTTTCTGGTCTTCCATAATCATCTTATTAAATAAACTTATGGCCTCTCCATGATGCTTGAGATGAATATGAGCTGAAATCAGAGTGTTCCACAAGATAACATCCCTCTCAGACCGATTAAATATTCTCCAAGCAACGGTCATTTTATCACATTTTCCATACATTTCTATGAATGAATTGGTTACCAAGAGAGTCTCATCCACAAAACCTTTTATCACATTGCAATGAATTGACCTTCCCAAGTTGATTTCTTTTAACTGTCCACACGAAGCAATTGCAGAAACTACGCCGACTGATTCAGAACAAATACGTAAATATTGCATTTCACGGAAGAGTTCAATACATTTTAAGTTCTTGCCTATTCTACCATAGCCAACAACCATAGAGTTCCAGCACTCCGTGCTCTCTTGACACCAGTAGAAGAGCCTCTCAGCAAAACTTAACATTCCAAATTTGCAGTACATAAACAACAATGAATTATAAACCATCTCATCAGGCACATAATGTCTCCTAATGATTAACCCATGAAAAGCTTTCCCTTCAGATACATCCCCCGAATTACCAAAACCCGAAAGAATACAACTAATAACAATTCCATCCGGGTACACTTGACTTTCCTGCATTTCCCAAAAGAATCTCACGCAATCACTCATCAACCCAAACCTAGCATAAACACCAATGATGGATGTCCAAGACAAAAGATCTTTGTTGATCACTTCACAAAAGGACTGATAACCTTCTTGGGGCAACCCACATTTACAATACATAGACAAAATCGAAGATTGTATAACAAGTGAACATCCAGTCCCGTTTTTCACAACCAAACCATGCAAACACCTGCCACTAAACAAATCACCCAGATTCCCACAAGCAAGAAACCCACCCTCAAATGTCCTGGAATTAGGCCTCTGAGCATCATGATCATCCCCAACAGCATACATGTCACTTATACACTTCAAACCCTTCTCACTCTCCCCATTTTGTACATACCCAATAACAAGTGCAGTCCAAGCAACAACATCTCTAACAGAAATTTCATCAAACACCTTAACTGCATCATTTATTTTACCACACCTTGAATAGAACGACACAAAGGAAGACCCAACAGCTGAACTAGAAGGAAAAAACCCAACTTTATAAGCCAATCCATGAAGGGTCGTCCCAGAAGGGAGAAGCATCAAATGGGCATAAGAAGAAGCAACCATAGGGAAAGTAAAATGATTCGGCAAGACGTTGGAAGAGCGCATGAGGGAGTAAAAAGAGAGAAACTGAGGGAAAAGGGAGCGAGAGAAAAGGGTTTTGAGGAAGGAGTTCCATAGGAAAATGTCTTTGAAAGGAAGGGAGTGGAAGAGGGTTGAAGAGGAAGATGGGTGGTTGAGAGTGTCGTAGAGAGAGATGAGTTTGGCGGCAATGAAGGGGTTGGTGGAGTTGCCGGTAGTGACTGTAATGGCGTGGAATGGAAGAAGAGATTGAAGGGTTGTGAGGCGCTTGGAGAGAGAGATGAGTTCGGCGTGATCGAATTTCAGCAGAGATATGCGCATCACCATTTTATACGTTCCCTCACACTTCAACCAACATACTCCATCTTTTCGATTTTAATTTTGAAAAATAAAGGTATATTAGCGCGGGGAATGCTCGTTGCACTCTTATATGTTTATATTCCTCTGCATTTTTTTTTGTTGGTAAAATACTCTTTTTAATTCTTTAATTATATTTTACGGTCTATTCTAATCATTTATCTTTAAAAAGTTTTAAATCGGTTTTTTAATTATTCAAAAATGATCATACTAGTCATTTTTATCTAAAAGGCATAAACGAATGTTTGTTTTGTATATGTGGCAGGTGATATAAAATGTTATAAACATCTTCTTCAACCCTAGTTATTCCATCATCCTTTTCATTCTCTTCTATCCAAATTCTCCTAAATTCTAGGGTTCAATAATTTTCTTCTCCTTTCGTTTCTGAAATTGCTTGAGGAAAATGAAGCAAACATCACTAGCGTACTTAGGTCAGTGTTCATACGATTCGAATGTCAAGAGCGGTGGTTGTTTAGATGGCAATTTGCGATGGAAACTCATATGTGGCTATGGAGACACGGTTGTTCTTCGAAGGGCTTCAACTCTCACAAATTTTGGGAAGCAATTCTGGAGTTGTCGTCATTATAAGGTAAGAAAGAAATTAAATTGGTTATTCATATTTTTTTCCTGATCTATCTGAATTTTTAATAACACAGGGTTCATTTGAAACTGGATATGGATACTGTTCTGGACTGGGCCCGACTAGCCCAATAGCATTGAGAAAGCCCAATCCAAACGGACTTGCTGGGGGCCACACCGACCAAAGGATCACAGTCGTGCCCGACGTGTTCCCTGGGTCTACTTGCTCGACCTCCTACTGTCCAGCCCGACATCAGCTCGAGCACCCCTCCTAGGGCAGACTCAGTCCACTGCACTCTCAACGGGACTCCGGAAAGACCGTGTCTCTGTCCGTCCGCACTTCACGCAGAACATCCAGGGAGGGGACCACGTGCGGGTCCGCACTACGCACGTAGAACCTGGCAGTTCCTCCATTGGGCCAAACCTGCCCGGCCCAATGAAGGAACCTTGGCCCAGCGCTGGGGGCTATAAATACCCTATGTTTCCAAAGGGTCAGGTATTGATCATTCTACCCATACTTACTATTGTCTGCTCGTGCTCTTACTTACTTCAGCATCGGAGTGTCTTGCAGGTACCCCCCCACCTCGTTCAAAACTTTCAGCTCGGAGCCAGCCGTGACGGTCCAAGTCTGATCAGGTTAGATCAGTGGCGCCGTCTGTGGGAAACTAGCTTCCCCGTCTTGCAAACTCAAAGACCAAAGCTCAAATTCAACTACCTGTCATGGCTGATCAAGCTCACGACGAGCAGAACGTCCGTGTCGCCGACACTAATAACGGCACGGCGGACAAAAACGGACATCTTGACAACGCCGGCAATCCCGGCCACAACACCATTCCTGCAACAACCGCTCCCGAAACTTCCTCATACAGGGACGGGGCTACTGCATCATCCTCCTCGCTCCCACCACCACTCGAGGACAACCCGACGGCCCTCGCCCACTACAGAGCCGCCCGGTTCCAGGAAGTCCCCGTCCCCTCCGGGGCGGATGCCACAACACAAGCGTTGTTCGCAGCAATTAATCAAACGAACTATCTCATCTTCGCCCAAGGAGAGAGATTAAAGGCGCTTGAAGACGAGCGAAGACCCCCGAGGAGGCATCGGAGACCACATACTCCCCCTCCTCGAGTGAC